AGAAGTTTCCACCTACTCGACAATGCCATTTCCGTACGAGGCGAGTCCGGAATTTTTTCGCAAAATTCAGCATGAATTTTTTTTTACATATGGAAAAATTTCATCTCATTGCCTATCACGGGACAATGACAAACTCAGAGCCAAGCCTCACACAAAGAAACATCTTCCATGGTGCTCTACACCCCTCCGGTTTCAATAGAAGAAGCCATAAAAATAAGAAATAAAATTACAAGGTGAAAGAGATGAAAATGTTGAGTGAAGAAAATGTTGAGTGACGAGTGAAAAAAATGTTGAGTAATTGTAGAAGTAGAATAAAATGTATGAGAATTGGTGTTGAAAGTGAAGGGTATTTATAGGTATTTATAGGAAAAAAAAATCAGAATTTTTTAGTATTCTTTTTAAAAAAAATTCGATTTTTTTTCATAATTTTATTGCTGGAAAATCGCCAGCCGTTGGATGAAGGCTGTGGAATCAAATCGGAGCGCTGGGGGCGTGCCACGTGTCTTCCAGCCGTTGGGTTTGCACCGCGTATCGACGTCAGCCTGACGTCACCCCCCCTCGTTTTGGACCTCGGGCGGAACTTGCCTTCGGGCCAGCACGGGTTGGTGGGTCCCACACCCCCCGGGCCTGGGCTGCTCCGCTGGAATGCAATTTTTTTTTTTTCCCCTAGCCTCAGGCTGGGCTCATCGATGGGGGGGCTTTCATGGGTGGAACCACAAATGCAAAGACTAATACTATTCACATGAATAGTGGCAGCCCTTACTTGCCATTTCCTTAGATTTAGCCTTTGTGGGTGGAAGTGCTCTAAAAGCAGTTGATTTTAAATACACTAGGTGTGGAATTGACAAACGTCGCCCTTTGAAAACACGCTAAAACAAAAGGACACTTGAGTTATTGTCCCTCGACCTAAACATTTCAGAATTCCCCCATGGCTGGAAGAACATCCCTCTCTCTCCCTCCCTTTGAAAATCAAAACCCTTAACTCTCTGAATCTCCCTCCCATCTGTTTCTTCTTAGTCTGTTGAACAAATCTGTAATTGTTCTCTGTGGTTGTCGTCACCTAGCTCGCCGACGAAGGTCACCATTTGCGACCCATCTTGAGTCCCTTGGTTGTCGTCGTCACTGAGCTCTGCCTCCACTCTCATATCTCTATTACATATCTGAAGCACCATCTCCACTCGTGCCATCCAGGTAATTGAACTCGTCGAGATCGCCATCTCCCTCTCGCTGTCTAGGTCACCGAGCCCGCGCCGTCCATCTCATCGAGCTCGCCGAGCTCGCCATGTCCCTAGTGGATGAGAAGCGTGAGAAGATGCTTCAAATCTTTTACGACTCTCAAGATTTCTTCCTTGTGAGTATTATCACGCCCTGATGCTATAATTTTAATGAAATCATTCAATTTTTTCTAATTTTAATTTGCGGACCCTATTCTAATTGATTTCAATTGAGTTCTGTGATTTCAATTGAGTTCTGTAATTTCAAATGTGGTTAATCTCTTTGTCATTGTGAACAATTTCAATGGTTTCAGCTTATATTCTCCGTTTATATGTTTATTAGTGATGTCAGCTAAAGGAGCTTGAGAAGTCAGGCCCAAAGAAAGGTATTATTTCTCAGTCTGTGAAAGATGTGATCCAAAGTTTAGTGGATGATGAACTTGTTTTCAAAGACAAGATAGGAACCTCTGTAAGTAGATGTTTCCACATACAGCTTTGCATCGTGGATGATGATCAGTCTGTGAAAAATATGATCCAAAATGCTTGTTTATATTGGCATTTTGTAATGTATGTTATTTTAAAATTTCATGTGTATTTTTGAAGTCTTCCTAGCACTGCTGGAAACCAGTTGAACCTTTGATGGTTTACATTATAAGCTCAGTTCTACAGGGTAGGATTTGTGCTGAAATTCCTACAAGTAGATTCGTGCTGAAATTCCTACAAGTAGATTCGTGCTGATATTGTTTTGGTCTTTCGCAGCTTAGGAATGTGTATAGCAGACTTGAATCTGATCTCCAAAGCAGTAAGAAGCGTCATGCAGAACTTGTTGAACAGTGTAATGCCCTGAAGAAGGGATAAACTGTTGATTTTACGTTAGAGGTGCTTTAGGTTCAATTTTTGTTTAGGTTTTAACATAAAGATGTAGTTTAGTTCAGTTATTAGAGGTAGTAGAAAAGCTCATGCTTTATTATGTTTGAAATCCTGATTTTTTTGGGACAACAATAATAAGCAAGTCTTCATATCACTCTTTAAGCTTTCTGATTCTGTTCTGTTCTGAAATCCTGTGGGAGCGTCTTTTAAATGTCTATCGACATATTGTTACTAAAATTGTTCTTTTTTTCTTTTGGCCATTGGCCAGATTATAACTTTACTTGTGATCAGCTTTGTTTGGAAACATTTTTTTTATGGGACATAATATAAAATTTTATATTATGGAAAACTTAAAATCTGAATGCTTAATTCAACTTTCATTTATTCTTTCTTGGTTTCAGTAATATCTCCGCTGGTTAATCTAATTGATAATACAATTATTAAATCACATGCAGAGCAGAAGCACTTAATAATCACTTGGCTGCTGTCCAGCGAGACCATGAAGTCAGATCTCAAATAGAAGAAGAAAAATAAGAATTGATGGAGCTTATGAAGATGCTAAAAGAAAGAAAAAATCTCTACAAGAAGAAAAACTTCGACAAGACAAGAACGAGCCAAAGCAGAGGCTGAGGTCTTTTTGTTTGGCCTTTTTATATCATTATTGTTTTGTTGGTAAGTTTCTAGATATGGTGTGCATGCAATGGCCTCATTGTGGTATTGCTTTCAATATTCTTTGTTGATGTGTCGGAAAGGTTTTTTTTGCATTTCAAGTAAAAGCTGTTCCAGTGAACTTTGAGTAACTTGGTTAATAACCAGGGTTCCACCCCCAACTTGCTCATTGTATATGCTTTTCATTGCATTTGTCTTACATGCTCGACTACTAACCTATGCTATCTCAGTTAATCATGGTTAACCATTTCTACTCATTTGCGATGCAAAATTTTTCTTTGGTTGAATTCGTGTTGAATTCCTCTTTAGGCATGTATCCGATATCCCATAACTGGTTCCCACTTCCCAGGCAGGTATTTCTCCTATAAATGAGAAATAAAAGAACTTTCTTGCACCTCTTTCTTTTCATGGGCTTTTCAGTTGTTTCTTTCTAGAAGTTTTACACCATATGATACATGAACTGGGCAATTTAATGGCAGGTAATATACTCAAGGCAGCACAAAGTGCTCTGAATCTAGAGCAGGGGAGGCTACAAAAGCTTAAACAGTTTGATGACGAAAACCAGACACTGAGATTACGCTCCATTGCGGTCTGCTAGCACCCAAACATTAAGCCTTGAAGGCTCCATTGCGGTCTCCTTTTCTTTTTGTTAGGATTTGAGGAAGTATGAGAGGCAAATTTCTAAGTTGGTTTAGCAGATTACAGGTCTTTCTGACACCACCAACTTGGAAAATGTGCAAGAAGGCAGAGCTAAGTCAACCCAAGAATAAATTGATGAAGTTAAGATCAAATTAGTAGAATTTGTGAGCTTCATTATTTCTAATTGTAGGTAGGAGGTATGCATGCAATGGAATAAAGATTGGCTGACCATGTTATAACTATTGAGTCTTCAAGTTTTATGAAAGAAATCATTTTTGAGTGTATATATTCGTTAATAAAGCATTATATTGGTTTTCTGGTTAAAATCGTTATATAGAATCATAGGAAACAAAAAACAAAAATGTAACAGCTTGGCTATTTATTAGACGACAGATTTAAAGATAATAAAACGATGGTTTTATTGGAAAAATTGTCATTTGTACATATAATCAATGACCGTTTTTAGCACAATATCATTGTCTTTATGTACAATCAATGACGTTTTTTTACTATATACCGACGTCTTTACTCATATATGACGACGGTTTTAATATTGTCGTCTTTTAAACAAAAACCATAATCTTTACCCATAAATAATGATGGTTTTTTTTATGAACCGTCGGCTTTACTCATAAACAACGCCTATTTCTTTTGGTACTGTTAATTTGTTGAATTCATCCACTCACAAACAACAACCTATTAACTTCTATATGGCCAACAATTTTAATTCTTTTCTAAGCTAAAACATGAGGGTTTGTTGCTATGTCAGATGCAACACAAAAGAAAAAGACGATGAAGTATGTGAGTTGGGGTGTTGTGGGGTGGGGTGGTGGGGTGGTTTCTTATTTATTTTTAATTTTTGAATGATGTTTATCTATATATATAAAGCAAAAGGCAGAGAATGATAAAATATTCAAAATACAAGGTTGGTTAATGCAAACATTAAGAATTAAAATTATTAATTAAATGAGGATAATATGGTAAATTTAAATTTAAAAAAAATTAAAATTAAAAGAAAAATCAGACACTGGGCCCTATTTTACGAAAAACAACTACCCATTATCTTTTTAATTCTAAAAAAAAATTAAATTCTTTCTAAAAAGGCCTCTCGCAGGCGCGAAAGCGCATGCAGAGAGGCTAGTATTATATTATATATGTATTAATTTAAAATTACTCTTATAATTATCAGGCCGGGTTTGGGGATGGGGATGCTAATACCATCCCCGTCCCATACCCAACGGGAATTTTAAGATATCGAGGATCCCAGTTTTGCCCTGAAATTTCCCCTCGTTAGGGCCAAATTGGGTCTTGGGCCCGAGGGGGAATTTTGTCATCCCTAAGAGAGAGAGAGAGTGGCGTGAGAGGGAGAGAGTTTTTGCCAGAGTTTTAAGTCAAAACTGAGTTTAGAGTTATCTCATGTGTAGTGAAATGCCATCTTTGTATAGTGTCTCCTCCTTGGCTAGGGTTTGTAGAGAATAATTTTCATGCGGAATGGAATTATTCCTTTCTTTAAATGGGATGACAGGATAATATCTTAATATTTAATTAGCACAATTATTTTACCTAAGGAAAATTCTCTTATCCATGTGTCACCTTGTGATTGGTTGCCAAAATTCACGTTCCCACAAAGCTAAAAAGCCTTACTCTCTCTCTCTCTCTCTCTCTCTCTCTCTCATGTTATTATTATCCATTTCAATTACTAGAAAATACAATAAAGTCTCATTCAAAAATGCAGAGCTAAATCTGCAAGATTGATAAGGGACTACATTTAGCAAATCTGAGAGAAGCCTAACCAGAACACTAATCACTTTACTTGTGGCATAATTCCCCACAATGAAAAAAATAATGAAACAGAGATTAAAGTTAAACAAAATCACCATTCAAAATAATAATAATAATAATAATAATTTATCACAACACAATTCAAGAAAATTGCCTGAGGCCTAATTTTTCAACAGTAATTGATCACAACACAAGTCTCAAGAAAATTTCTTAAGGCATAATTCTTGATAATAAAAAATATGAAGTTCTCTCCGTATGAGACAAAGATACATTTGCAGTAGAGATGTAGTTCTCTATAGGATACCTGGATGCAAAAGTAATGTAATCTTCTGTCTTGTTGGCTGATGTCTTTTTCTTATAGGATTGCATCTTGGTGCAGTGATGACAGTAACTTCAGACTCACCATTTATTTCAGTTTGAACACCATTAGGACTTTCAGCCCTATGCTCATCATTATGCTCAGGAAAAAAATTCTCATATGGAATATCATTTGATGAACAAGGAAATAAATCTGTTTCTATCAATGGTAATGGAATACCATCAGATAATTGTTCCCCTTGAGGATTTTTCTCTAAAGTATTTTCAAAAAAAGATTTGGATTCATCAAACTTGACATCTCGTGAGATCAGAACCCGTCTTGCTTTTACATCATAACATTTGTAACCCTTTTGAGTTGTGGAATAACCAATAAAAGCCCACTTAACAGCTCAAGAATCAAGTTTGTCATCGTTTGAAGCTTGAACATGAACATAACACACACAACCGAAGACCCGTAAATGAGATAAATCAATCTTCCTTTTCTTGAGAATTTCCAAGGGAGATTTAAGCTTGAAAATGGGACTGGGTTGTAAAGATATCAACGGTCCTCACTCTGCCACATGTCAGAAGATTGAAGAAGAGAGTTGTTGAAATATTGTTAAGACTGTTAGACAGTTTTTAGCAAAAGAGTTAGTGTTCTGTTAAAGAAGTTAGAGAGGTTAGGAGGTTAGAAACATATATACAAAGCTTTGATAAGCTAATATAAAGAC